TCTGGGACAGAAGTTCAATAAACCAATATAACCTAAATCAGTGAAGTTAGATACTACATCCATCCAGGTTTATCTTAAACAGGTTTTGGCCATTTTGAAAGTGGTTTATGTGCACTGAACTTCTGTTGTGTTACAGATGTGGACCACCTTCTGATCACTTATACCAGTTTATGGGTAATTTCTGCCCCAAGTCTATGTCCATCAGTAAGCTATTGCAGGAACAAGCCCTGACCCAATCAACACAACAGTACTGGATTTAGAAAGAGCCGTTTCTCTTATTCACTACAATGTCATACAAGGATATTTCCTTAGGGCTGGGGTAAACACCACTGGCTAGCATCATAGACAAAGAGCAGATGATACTGGTATGGATAAGGGTATAAATATAGAAAGATTTGAAAAAACCCACTGTAAAGGAGGCATACGATAAAGTTTAACCAATTTACAATGGATAATAACTAAACTAATTTTGACACTCTGATAATCACTGGTGTCCATCAACGCAAATTAGAACTTTTTATAGCTACACTACAGAAGGTGACCTTTAAGACCATTGGCTTTGATTCACAGTTAGCTTTAATCCATGGTAAAAAAGAACAGCTTACTCTAAGTGCATAAATATGATCATACTCAAGAAAGTAGACATGGTGGCTTTGAATCTATGTCTGAATATATCTCATTGTGAATTGCAGGCTACAAAAATCAAACAGCCTCAAAATTCTTGCCTGGCAACTTCAGAGCACAAAATATCGTGCCAATGACTGATACATACAGTATTTTCTTCACCATGCAAACTGAAAATATTGATAGTAAATATATTTATTAACTCATGTATTTCAGCTGACAGGACTGTCTTAGCAACTGCAGGTGTTCATGTGATGTTATTGCTGGACTGTTTAAAAAGCTACGGAGCTGTAAAACCCACCAATATGCCTCTTGTTGGTTAGATTTTGTCTACTCTATGCCCACTCCAAAAGCAAGGTCCTGGATTACAACTGTGTTGAAAATGAGGGACAAATTTTCAAACACTGCACTGGTGCTGAAAAAAATTAACACAGTGCTTTAATTCAACTGTAGTAAAGTATATACAAGGCAAGCATCATATATGATTTACTGCTAAAGCATGTAATATTTATTTTACTACATATGTGCTATAAAAAAAATAATGGGAGCTGAAAATATGCAAATTCAAATAGCACAGTACATCTTTATTCTGAATAACTGGAGCCACGCATTTGTGTCTTGCAGGCTAATTATAACATAAATATAGTTCTTTAATTAATTCAGAACACATACTTCTCTGAAATACGGTATAGGGCATACATTTTTATATACACAAGTATATGCCTTATGTCATTTATATACCTTAAAGATTTCAATGGGGTTCTAGTTTTCCCCCTCCCCCCTATAAAATTCTTCTCTAAAATTATCTACAAAAAGTTTGGTTGTCTCTTGATTGAAATTACATTGGGGTTTTTTTTCCTTCGGTTAATTTTTATTTGTAGTAGTAAAGTATATTTGGGGGAGACTGAATTAAGAACATACACAATGACAATACATGGGGCTGCATTTTCAAAAGTAACTAGCCATTGTGAAAATCTTGGGATAAATTTGAAGGTGCCTAATTTTTAGACTGCAGATGCACAGCACTAAAAATTATACCTTTAAGCTCTCCAAAGCTGTGCAACTAAAAACCAAGACCCTGACAACAATCACTAGTCACTTTGGAAAATGCAGACCACGATTTTCAAGGCTGCCAAGCTGGGCTTATATAAACACCTTGTAGGACAGGCCTCTGAAGTATTGTCTAAGGAGTTTAAGAGATTTAGTCCATAATTTCCTCTCACTTTTCCCACTGGCTATTCATAAGCAGTTAACAATAGCAATTAGAGTTTGCTGACACAATAGTAAAGACAGCATTGACCACTGTACAGACAATGCGCTCTCGACACTGCCTTGTTTAAAATTCCAGACTCCAGGACATGTTTTTTTAATCCCCTCTGGACAGCCAGTTTGGACACACACGTTATTCAGACCTTCTTTACCGAATATGTCAAGTACAAAAAAAGATTCCCAATTTAACCGAAAGCAACAAAACTTGTGATTAAGAAAAGCCTCGAGGTCGTGGCATTCACCTACAGCTACTGCACTGCTAAGTACTTCCAAAGTCCACCAGGAGCAAAGGGAAGAGAAGGAATCCAAGGAAAAACACTGAGCCCATGAAAAGTCAGAAGAAACTTTAATTGTGTTAACACAGTGGTCACCAACCGGTCGATCTCGATTGACTGGTTGATCGTGGAGCCTCTGACAGTCGATCTCAGTCGGTCAGAGGTTGCACGATGGGGAGCGGCAGGATGCATGCGGCTGGGCTGAGCAAGTGGGGTCAAAACCTCGGCGGCCTGTCCAGGAGGTTGGGGGAGGGGGGGCGGGGCACAGTAGATCCTGGATTGCCAAAAAGCAATCTTCACCATAAAAAGGTTGCAGACCACCGTGTTAACATTTCACTCCACCTTGTCATGCAAGGCCATAATGGCATCGCCCCCTGGTATTGAGGCCTCTCCCTACCCCTCCAAGCTGTATCTACTGGATTACCAAAGCCTGTTCTTTGAAGATGCAAGCACATCAGTAGGTGAGAAATTCATTTCTTACTGGTGGTGATTTTTTTTTAAAATGATCTGAAAGCATACTTAAAATTTCTTTTAGAGTTACAAAGTGCTAAAAGGGTTAACGTTACCTGACCCTGAAAATAGTGCAGCGATGCCTGTAGACAGTTCCGGGGGTGGAAAAAAAGTATTGCATGTACTAGACCAATCTACCAAGGAGAGCGATGATAAAAAATGGATGTAAAAACATTAGAAAACAGGGCATTAGCTAAAATTCATTATGCTCCTTCATGTTTTATTTGGTTTTTCAGGTAACCCAATCACCCATCCTTCCACCTGGCAATATTAGAAGACATCTCTAGTACTGTTTTTTAAACCCCCCTTGCAATAACTTCGGTTTAGTTGAAAAGCAGGTATAGATTAATCAGACCTTTTTTATTCTCTCTCTCCTGCTTCCTGGGGCTTTCCCACCAAAACAAAGTAAAACTCGACAGTCACTTCACAGGCGTTAGACAAATGTTTAACACGCTACATGAGGAAAGGTTAAGTACAATCACTGCTAATAATCCTGGCTCTTTGGAGGTAGTGTCGTATCTGAATAAATCTGACATCACCTCATTGTAAAGACCAAGAATTTATTATTGTCCAGGTTAAAGCTTGTGCTCCTATCCTTTCTTGCGGCTATCGCATGAGGACGGCTCTTTCCTCGCTGAAACAAACATTAAAGTGCCAACGTACACCAAATGTATAAGGTGTCTGGGGATTACTCTTTAGCAAATATGTTTAACTTACTTTGGCTTCAGTCTCTCCCCTGTGAAGTGTATATAAATGATGGACAGCACTTTGTGATGATGACCAAGGATGTGTCAGTACTTGGAAAACATGGAAATCGTGGCCTAATGTGTCAGTAGTGACCAGCAGCATCCCTGGGAGAAGAAACAAGAGAAAGAAAAAAAAGAATGAAACACTGCAAAAAGCAGAGGTTTAAAAATGCCTGCTTAAAATAGCTAGCATATATTTCACTTTGCTTTCTGGAAATAACGGACAGAAAGGTATAAGGAAAAAAAAAATCAGAGATTAATACACACAAATTTTCCAGTCGTTTTTGAAAGCCAAACTTCATTAGAAATCAGACGGTGGCAACCGTGTTGAAGTATTATGGTAGAGTAATACAAGTCAATTAAACAAGTCTAGGGACACAAACTGAAAGTTAAAAACTTGCACAACCACTCTGAAGCACAAGAAGTTACTGCACATTATGGTTTCACTCTCTATAGCTCTCAACTGAGCAAGTCAACTTTTGTTCAGACCAACACAAGACAGGTTTCTATCGCCAACCTAATTCCCATTTTTTCATGAAAGTGAAAACATTATTTAACGAAGTAAAAAAAACCGCCCAGGTTTTCCTCTCAACTATCCAAAGGACATGTTTCGCGTGGAGCTGTACAAAAGTAACAGTCTGATTTACTGAACAAAAGGCAAACTGGAGTTTGAGCTTTTGAGTGGAATATTAATTGAAGCGTTAACTTCACAGGAAAAAGAAGTCACTAATATATGTCGGTGAAATGATTAAACTAGATTCAAAGATCAGCTAAACGACGATAAATTTAAATGCTGTGTATTTTCTTTCCTTCTTTTATTGTTAAAGCATAATACAACTTTAGGACGTTTACAGTCACATATTTCAGGCCATCTTGTCATCAGAATACAATTAATTATACGGTTTATATTAAAAAGAAGAGCCTTTATGGGCAGGAAAGTGTGGCTCTACGGTAGGAATTGAAAGGATGGCAGAAAACACGGACGACAATCAGTTATTCCCCTGTATAATAAAATCAATATTATCTTGCTTATTAATGGAGTGCAATAAATTATCACTGAAAGTGAGACTCCGTTTAAATAAGTTCAAAGAGAAAAACAGTTTATCTGAGCAGTTTAACAGATACATTAAAGTGTTTTTTCAATGTTTTGAAAGATCCCGCAGCTACAGAAAGAAGAATTTTATACATTGAACAGCCAGGGCATAACTGGAAAAAATGTGAACAGTTTACACTGCAAAGGTGTCTATAATTGCTGCATGGACAAGGTTGTGTTGATCCTCCATTTAAAACATATTTGAAACCTCTCTCTCTCTCTTCAGTAAGTGTATTTAAGTTGTCAAATTTAATGCAAGTGTTGCTCAAAGGACAAGCGAAGAGTCTCACATTTTTATGCTAAAATAGTTATCTACTTCCCTGAGAAAATGGTTTGCAGTTTTTTGTTTAAATTTGGCTCCAAAGTTGCCTTCTCAACATCCTAGCTGCTGCTCAGCACCGAAGAAGCAAACCAACACAGACCCATGCTACTCGTTGAGATGTCTCCTGGATCTGCAGCAGTGTTCATCAAGGCTCCTCAGCTCCAATACAGATCCAGGCTTTCCACGTTTTATTAGGACACAAAGACCCTACCTCTAGAGTTCATGGCTCCTCACAAGCCCCTGGAAGGCCCTGCTTCCAAGCACATGTAGACAGCTTACATTTCAGCAGCCAGAGTTTCCAGTTATTGAACCTCACGCTATTCAGAGCAGGATTTCTCTACCTGGTCAAACCCAGGTTTGTCAGACAAGAGAATGCATTTCAGCCGAGAGGAAAGATGATACCATGACTGAGACAGTAACCTGGGATGCCCTGGACAAGTCAGCCTGTTTGCCTCAGTTTCTCTCTCTGTGAAATGGGAATAATGCCCTACTTCACAATAGTGTAATGATGATAAATGCATTAAAGACTGAGACATACTCATGTGCTAGGACTGTGGTGTAACAAAAGTGCAGAGAAATCCAAATGGTGTCTGGCACACCAGTCTTACCTGCAAGTGCTCCTTTCAATTTGGCCACAGTAGCTGGAAAAATGGAGGGAAGTCACCACACTTTAGGCACCCCCGCCCCCAAAACCACAAATGCTCAATCTTAATTCTGAGCCCAGCAAGATTCTCTCCAATAGACATACTTTTACTGCTAAGGACCCTCGATTCTGAGTACTGGAAAGAAAAGGAAGCTTGTTGCGGAGCTGAGGAATCCAGGAGTGCATTTGGGTATTATGTTTGGGCAGTAAGGCATGCGAGTTGAGGTTGGTCTGAATGTTAATGTTGGCTCAACTGGCAATTTCCTTGATTTGTAGTGACTGCGTTGATAGGAAATACAGTTAAAGTTGCTCAAGTGCAAGTTCGCCAAGTCTTTAGTGTGGGATATTGCACGCAATTTGCATTAATTCTGTTCTGAAAAAGCATAAGATATGCTTCCCTTTTAGTTAAGCGTGTGGTCTCTAATAATACACCACCCCATCTTCCATGGAGAAAACTGCAGTGATTTGAATGTCAGTAGTATTCCCTGTGCTAGAATTAGGCTGCCGCAACTAAAGAAGTGATGACGTTCCTGGAGATCTAATTTGGCAAAGCAAACCTCCGTATAGCAGACTCCACAAGGTTTTTGTTGTTGTTTTGTTTTATTTAGGTAGCTTTGCATTTTCAGTTCTCTAGACCTGTCCCTTAATGCAGATGGAACGAACTCATGGAAGAGATACTGGAAGAAGTGACTATAAATAGGCTTCATTCAGTAGGAAAACCTAGCTGTTTTCCTAAAGTGCTGGGGTTTTCTCATAAGTCTCTCTCGCATCCAGAGCTTTCTAAAGACAACGGGTTTTATCTGTGTGCCATCGCTAGATTCAAAGATTATAAAAATACTTTTGAATGAGCAAGCAACCTGCTGAAGGCACATGCAACACTCACAAGCCATTCAAAACTTAGGAACTGTATTCAACCTGTTGTCCATCCAGTCCAACATCCTGTTTCTAACCATGGCCAGTTCCAGAGGTGTCAGGCAGCTCCCTACTAGGCAGATGTAATATAATCTGCCCCATAAAGGTTTCATCCTAATCTGTACTAATCCAGGTAAGAATTGATCGGCCAAATAATTTAAAAAAACCAAACCCTAGAAAACAAGGGTCCAGGATGTGCTCTAGGGGTTATCTACGCATTCCTTGGATGATATGTATTGGCTCTGAATAAATTAAGCAGTCGAATGCACCCAGTTATCTGAGATTATAATCAGAGCCAGGTGGCGTAGCTGTTTTTGTTCTAATACTAATGTCTTTTTCCTTTACTTTTTGTAATATTTTTATGATTGCTTGCTTGCTGAAGGAGCAAAGAGGTGAAAGATAACAGCACTAGTGGGAGGAAAGGAGCTGGATCTCAAATGGAAAGATAGATGGTATCTGATCTGGCAGTTGTGCTGCTCAATCTGCAATTCTGCCGTGTGTCACCATTTGGAGCAAAATGCATTTTATTACATGAGGCCCTGTGAAACCCTTCATTTTATTAGTGGCTTCTTTTCAGAAACTGAAAATATATATACGCCTATACCTGCATTTGATATACTGTACAACTACATGTTTGCTTAAACCCTGCTAATGTGCCGGTCACAGGCACAATACCGCGGACATGCTAGGCCAAAGTACATTTTTATAAAGACGATTAGTATTTTTAAATATCTTCCTTATTATTACTCAAACAATAAATCACCGAGGTTTTGGAACCTTTGCCTTTTTGTGTGTGTGGTATTTTCCATCTCTCATTACTTCACACCGAGGAGCTCCGGTTTTCAATTATTGCAGCTCTACTATTTATTTTCTCACTCCAGCTCCTTATGACAAAAGTACATTGTGCAATTCCAGAGCACTATGGTGGAAACATGTAATCCCAATAGAGAAATAGATTAAATTTAAACCTTAATGACTCCTTCAGTTCTCTTTCAAATGCAGGGTATTTTAAATTCAGATTTTAAAAAGACCTTTCAATAGCTTCTCAAAGACTTGTTTAGATGGAAATATAGGTTAGCACTGTCATAAGTTCATGCCAAAAATGTATTCTCTTATGATGTACTTTATGTATGAATAATCACAGATGAAAAGTGAATAATTCTCCAGGATTTCCTGCTTGTTTTTCAAACTGGCATTAATCCTTGTTTAGCAGATAACATCTGAAACCAATTCAAATTCTTGCATACACATAACCCGGTGAGAATTTGTGTGTAAAGCAGATATTACTTTGTATGCATCTCTCTGCAAACATTTAGATTTTCTTATCCATAATGTGAAGGGTGCAGCTAGGTTAAATTAATGACTGTGTTTTACTGTGTGGTTTTTCAAATCCACAGAGATGATTAAAACATTCAGTTTAGAAAGAACTGATATGCTGGACGCATGAAAAAAAAAACTTACTTTAGCTTTGTTTTAGCTGACAGATACATTCGCCTTAATTTACAACTTCCTATTTTTCACGCATAATGTTTGGGAAACAATAAGCTTCTTTCAGGAAAAAGGAGTTTGAAAAAAAATACAGAGACTATATACATAAAAGGAAAAACTGGTACAGATGTAGACTGTGGGTTAAGAGCTATTTATGCAGTATCAGAAGACTAAACCAGACTCTGGCCTGGCCATAAACTAAACCCACGCCCTAAATGAGGTGCCAAGCCACAAAAAGCATTTGCGTCAACTGGGAATACAAGGAAAAGAAGGACTTCTAATTATAGGGCCTGGAAGCGGAAGCCTCGAGTGATTAGGAGTTTAGGCGCTGCTGTATGTTTATCTGGGAGCTTCCTCTCTCTCTCTCTCTCTCTCTCGGCCTGGGTTTGATAGATGAGGGTTGGCCTAGAGGGTGGGATTGAAGTTGCTGATGGTACACAGAGTTCTCCAAAATCCTAGGGAGACACAGACTGTATACTAAGGCTTCTGTGGCCTTGTAGGAACATGAGTCTTTTCAACCAGGCGTCAGTTGGTTAGCCCCAAAAGCAAAATTAGAGAGTAGCAAATCTCAGTTGGGTACTTGCTATAAAATCGAGGAAACCCGAGTAGTTTCAAGCATCTCCACCACATCCTATTTATAACACCTC